TGTGATTAACCGTGTCCTTGTCTTGGTAGAGCTACTGCCAAAGCTCCCTCTTCCTTTCCTTGTCCACCTATAAGTCAAACAGGCATGTAAATCTTGTTCCTACTCACATCGAGTAGGGAAACCACGTAAATTGTGTGTATGTGATTCTTTTCGCTTCCGCATTCTGTTATTTTACAAATTGGTTTATACCACTGTTGTTAAAGCCAACTCGAGTCGGTCGGTCGGACCGGTAAAACCGGCACCCAGACGCCAGCCCGGATCGGAACCCTCCAATAGTCGTAACGGTCAGAAGGGCCGGTTTTTGAGCGGCCGAAATGATTAACCATTCGAACCGCTCTAACCGCTTGACCGGTTTTTTTATTTCTGACCGATGGTAAGTAAAAAAAATCAACAATAATTTTTTGAGTTCAACCCGACGACGCATCCACCGCTGACGAACCCATTGTCTTCTGTGGCTTTCCCAATGCCATCCAACTCCTCTCATCCAACTTCTTCTCCCGACAAAACATGGCGGTCCCTCCCGATGACGGTTGTGCTGCGCTGAGGGTGGGTGAGCACAATTAACAGATCAAGTGTTGGGAGAGTGGGGAGATAGTAGAAATTGAAATGGAGAGGGGAGAGCGGCACAAATTGAAAAAGAGAGAAAGGGAGAACGGCGTTGCGCAAGGGTGGGTGGGGGTTAGGGTTTATTATTAAGTTATATATATATATACATAAATGGTAAATTTGTTAAGTGGTAACTGAAAAGTAAATTTTATTTTAGTCATTAAATTATTAAATTACTATCTTATGAGTCTTCTACATACAATATTATTGTTTTAAGTTACCGGTTCTCTAACGTTTTTTTAATGGTCCAATACCGGTTGGACCACTAAAATGCGAGCCGTTCACCTTACCGGGTCATACTCCGACTCGAATCTGACAACATTGGTTTATACCTTTACACAGGTTTAGCAAGTGGAATGGTCTGACGAGTGGTACAACCAGTTTGTGTTAGTTCATGTCGGTTTAACAAAATATGTAAAAATAGGATATTCCAAATAAAATTATATATATTTATATTTAAATACAACATTCAACGCCAATATCTAGACGTTTATATTTGAGTCCAACAAATAACATCAATATTTAACTATAAAATTCATAAAAATAAATAATAAATTATTTTTTTATTACTTAAATTCACTAAAACAATGTCATTTTGCTTAAAGGTTGTAAATCGATCATGGCACTCATACCGATGGTGTTCATGCCGGTTTCATGAACGACATGGTTAAATCAGGTTCAATTAGCCAACATTTCACTAGCACGACAACCATAGTTACATGAACTCTGAAGTAGGGGGTGGGCATGCGGATGGTTAATTCATTATTTGACATCGATCCACCCGCAAATAACCTAAATCGTAGTGAGTGGGTGATTGATATGGGTGCATTGTGGATTGATAAATCTCCTACATGCACTTATTCGGGTGCGTAGTGGGTGGATTGCAGCTCACCTGAATGACCCGCACCATATTTTTACATGAAAAAATGTTGTTTCTTGTTTATACTATCAAATAGTCATCATATTTTCTAATCTCACTACACGCTGATATGCAAGTTAGAAACTATTAATTATATCAAAGTCGCAATATGCGTGAGTTTTCTCTGCATATTTGGTTAATTGAGTAATGATATTTTTTATATAAACACTACAAAGGTCCACATGAGAAAAGGTGAAAAGTGTCTAAATTTATACCGTCTTACAAATTCGCAAGAAACTTATTATAAATGTTAATCAAGTTTCACTAGCTTGAAAATTATTTTTAGGATTAATCACAACCAAACCACACCCACCTCACCCACCAACCCATTTTCCACCCAACTCTGAAGTATGAACTATTTTTCATTAACAAAATTAACCAACTAGTCTATCAAAAAAAAATTAACAAACTAGAAATTTTTTTAAGAAAATTTTTTTATGGCTACTTAATCGCCTTTTTTATAGAAATCATTTTTTTGCAAAGGTAAAGAAATTATGACACATCATCCAAAAATGAAAGTAAGTTTGGGGAGAGCAGATCCGGTAACTAGGGGGTGTTTAGTCACTTGACTAAGCCCCTCCTAGCCATTGGATCTAGATGAATCAATCTAACGGTGAAAGTTGGGGAAGGGATTATTAAATATTCAGAAGGGCAATTCTGGTATTATTAAAATTTCATTAAAATTTTATCTTTTTTATTCTGACAATTTTGCAGCCGCAGCGAGACGCAGTCTCGTCCAGCGATCGGCAATTTCGAGCAACGCCGAGGCGGTTTTCTTCCAGCGAATGGCCAGGCTATTCTCCAACGACGGCGAGGTGATTCTCCAACGAAGGGCGAGGCAATTTTCTCCGGTGAACGGCGAGGTGATTCTCCAGCGAAGGGCAAGGCGATTCTCTAGCGACGGCGAGCCGATTTCTTCCCGACGAAGGCCAAGCAATTTTCTCTCGGCGATCTGCGAGGCGATTCTCTAGCGAACGCCGAGGCAATTTTCTCCCGGCGAAGGGCGAGGCGATTCTCCATCCAAGGGCGAGGCGGTTTTCTCCCGGCTATTTTCCAGCAACAACAATCGACGAGACAATTTTCATTGCGTAATGGATTCTGCTCCAATTGATGAAGTGTTCGATGAAGTTGTAAGATATTTTGGTAATCGAGCAAATCTCTTGACATCATAGTCGTCCGAGGGAAGAATAGTGATTTGTAATGCAAGTGTTGTCATTTTGTATTGTTAGTATTTTTGTACATAAAGCCAGTATGATTTGTATAGTTTGTATGTTTTGTAATATTAATTTGTACATAAAAAAACATTATAAACATGGTTGACAAAAATGACAAACATGGTAGATAAAAATAACAAAACTTACAAACATTACAAAAGAACTCGACAAACATTACAAAATAACAAACATTACAAAAGAAATGACAAATAGTACAAAACATACTAACCATATAGAATACCACTACTTACAATACTAATCGGTAAACTTGTATTACAAACCAATGAATACAAAGGATACACATTATAACATAAAAGTATACAAACTAGACAAACAAACATTACAAATTACAATATATACAAAATAGTCATATAAACATTACAAATGTAATAGAAAAAGATGACAAACAAGAATAATAAACAATACAAACCGAAATTGATATAAACATTACAAACTAGATTTATAAACATTACAAAATAACTGGACAACATCACAAAATCAACAATGTCGCCGGAAATCATCACATGCCATCTCCGGTCGTTGGGAAATCATCGCCTGCCGTCTCCGATCACTGAAAAAGCCTCCTCCTCCGCCGTCTCTCTCTGTTGGGTACAGAAAAAGGCACTTGGGCTTAAAATCCCATTTCCAAGACCGTCTCTCTCTCTCTCTCTCTCTTTCTCTCTCTGTTGGGGACAGAAAAAGGCAATTGGGCTTAAAATCCCATTTCTAGGACCGCGTGGCAGGGACACAAAAGTCCGGGACCGGTTATTGTAACAACACCCATTGTGTTGTTATTGTAACAACACTAGTCCCCAACCCATAGGAAGCTAGGATTGTGATGACTTTTTATTAGATGAGTTGACCTAGTGTAAAATCAAAGCAGGGGTATAATTGTCATTATGAAAAATCTATTTAAATAAAAAAAAATTTAAAATTTTTATTTTATTTTCTGCCCAAAAATTTGGTCGCCGGAATTCTGCCACCGGTCGTCGGAAAATGGTCGCCGGTCACCGGAATATGCCTTTTGTCGCCGGAATATGCTATTTTGTGGCCGGAATATGCTTACCGGCGTCGGAATCTAGTCACCGGGGCCGGAATATGCCTATCGGCGTCGGAATCTACTCACTGACGGTCACCGGAGTTCTGTCAACGAACTTCGTTGACCGGTCAACGGTCTTCGTTGACCGGTCAACGACCACCGGATGTTATGGTTAGCATTGTGAGATTTATGGTTTGGTTTCTCATATTTTTTTATGCCTTTTATGGTTTGTTTTATTGTGTTTGTGGTTTGCATTGAGAAGTTTCTGGTTTGTTTTCAAAAACTTTGTGGTTTGCATTGTGAGGTTTCTGGTTTGTTTTAATATATTTGTGGTTTGCATTATGACGTTTATGGTTTGCTTTTTGTGGTTTGATTTACTGTGTTTGTGGTTTTCATTATGAGGTTTCTGGTGTGCTTTCGCAAATGTTGTGGTTTGCATTGTAGGGTTTCTGGTTTGTTTTAGGGGATTTGTGGTCTGAATTAGAAGGTTTCTAGTTTGCATTAAGAAGTTTCTGGTGTGCTTTCGAAACTTTTGTGGTTTGCTTTGCGAGGTTTCTGGTTTGTTTTAATATATTTGTGGTTTGCTTTGCGAGGTTTCTGGTTTGTTTTAATATATTTGTGGTCTGCATTAGGACGTTTTTGGTTTGCTTTACCGTGTTTATGGTTTGCATTAGGGGGTTTCTGGTATGCTTTTCAAAATATTTATAGTTTGCTTTGTGAGGTTTCTGATATGTTTTAGCAAATTTGTGATTTGCATTAGGAGGTTTCCGGTATGTTTTTTGTGAGTTATTTTATTGCGTATGTAGTTTGCACTAGGTAGGTAGAGAGCTTTTGGTGTTAAAAAATATTTGTGATTAGAATTACTAAACACCAATATAGAGTTTCTAATATATAAATACGGAAGCATGTATATAGAATGGATAGAATACTGTTGTTTCTGGTTTGATGACACCAGACAAAGCATGCAAATGCATGTTGCATGCCGCCATGGGCTCACAATACACATTGCTCATCACTCGAGTGTCAGAAAAGGAGTTGGACCTACTCCATCTGCAGCCGCCGATTATGTTATTCCTAAGACAGCACTAGTCCTAGCTACTACTACTGTAATCATTAATTGCCAATAAACTAAAATCTCGAGAACATCTACTAGTCGCCTGCCAAATTCGAGAACTCCAACCTTCCGTTCCCCGGCTTATATTGAAATCCCTAGCAGACAATTATGCAGAAGGACTCGCTACTCTCTGTAGCAGAACGTGCACACCCAGCCTGGTTTAACGCTGAAACTGGAATCTACCGGAGCCCACACACCGCCGTGGCTCTCCCCGCCAACCCTCTCCTCGACCTCGTCTCTTTCATCTTCTCCCATCGCCGTCACGATGCACCCCACACCTCTTCCTCCTCTGCAGTCGCCCTTCCGATTCCGCTTCCGGCCACTCAATCTCTTACGTACCAAGACCTCTTCCCCCTCGTCAAATCCACGGCCTCTGCTCTCCACAAATTGGGCATCCGCCACGACGATGTCGTCTTGCTCGTCCTCCCCAATTCAATTTGCTTCCTCGTCGTCCTCCTCGCCATCCTATACGCCTGCGCCGTCGTCACCACCATGAACCCTCTCGCGACCGTCGTGGAGATCAAGAAGCGCATTGCCGATTGCGGCGTCCGTTTGGGACTCGCTGCGCCGGAGAGAACAGAGCGGAAGGGAAAGCTTTGTTTTTATTAATTTTTATTGTAAATTTCCAATTTTGCCCTTATGAATTACGTTGTTACGGTAACAACATATAGGGTGTTGTTATTCTATCCTATCCCCAAAAGTCCCAGGATCGGCGGCGGGCGGGGAGGGCGGAGGGGTCCAAGATAGGGTGCATAACCCATGGTTATGCACCCGTCAGTAACCCAACAGGAGCCGTCCATCTGGAGCGGGGAGATCTAACGGCTGGGGTCGGAGCGGGGTGGGGCAGGGGTATTTTTGTCCATTATTTGAATTTATGTCCTTCCCTCTTTATTCCTTTTTGGTTTATCCTCGGCCGAGCTGGAATTGGATTCATGAGAGAGAATGAGAAATAAACAGAGCAATCGAGAGTTTTTCTCCGAAGGATTACTCGATGGCGAGAAGGTTGGTGGAGGACGCGATTCTTAGCTTAATCGGCGGCGGTTTTGCGAGTTATAGTTGTTAGAAGGTCGGTGGAGGACGCGATCGGCGGCGGTTTTGCGAGTTATAGTTGTTATAAGGTCGGTGGAGGACGCGATTCTTAGCTTAATCTTCTCTTTTCTTCTTTTTTGCTCGAGGTTTTCGCTCGATTTTGCTTGTGTTGAAGTTTCTGCTGGCTGTTGTTTGGTCTTCGTCGAGGTAATTTGTAGTGATAGTAGGATTTTACGTTTTCGCATTGATTCCGTTCTGTAATTTGTTTTTGATTTTGTGTATATATGATTTATCTGCGTTTTCTCTTTTTGTGCTCTCTGTTTTTCTGTTCTTTGTGATTTGTTTGTATAAGTCTGTTCAGTTGATTGATCTGTAGTTGAATTTATGTTTTGTGCAGGAATTTTTTGAATCTTCTCTGTTGACTGAGCTTTTTTAGTGCAATGAGTGATCTCAATCAAGGCGTCATTGTTTCTTTGAATGAATCTAATACTGGATCTAGTTCTTCTAATAGTGTTGTTGAATCGGAAGGTAAGAATTTTAAATGTGTTTGGTAAGTTGAAGTTTGTATGTATGTTATACCATATAGTACCATGTTATACCATACAATACCATACTGGTATTTTATAGTATTTTTTGCATATTAGTGTTGTGTTTTATTTGTTGTGATTTTATGTTTCTGTATATATGTTATACCATAAAATACTATGTTATACCATGTTATACCATATAGTACCATACTGGTATTTTATGGTATTTTTGCATATTAGTGTTGTGTTTTATTTGTTGTAGATTGTTTTTATAGTTGTTGTGATTTTATGTTTCTGTATATATGTTATACTATACAATACCATGTTATACCATAAGAAACTATACTGGTATTTGTAGAGTTTTTGAATGTAATAAACTTTACCATATTATACTATGGTGGTATTATATTTTGTACATAATTAATGTTTCATTCTTTTTATGTTTTAGGTTTTGATGCTATTGATCCTAATGTTCGAAGTTCCTGGAACAATCTTGAGTTCGCTACAACTGATGATGCATATAGATTTTATGTGGATTATGGGAACTATAAAGGTTTTTGTGTGAGGATTTACCATCAGTCGACATGTCCGAAGCTTAATAATGGTTCAAAGGCGGTTTATTATATCAAGTATTGTTGCAATAAGGAAGGCTGGAGGATTGGTAGTGAGAATAATCCTGCTAATCATGGTTCTATTGATGTGAAGGCTCGTGTTCGTCATGTTCCAGAAATCAGGGGTGGGTGTGATGGTGCCTATATTCGAATTAGGTGGTTTAAGCAGTTCAAGTGTTACAAGATTTATAAGTGGTATGATGTGCATAACCATGACATGATTCCTGAGGCTATGCGTCACTACATGAGATCGAATAGAAAAATGGCTCCTGTGTATAAAATGTTGGCAGATGTGAATGATGCTGCTGGTATAGGTGCGACTGCTTCGTATAATGCAATTAGTAGAGCTGGTGGTGGTCGGAAGTGTATTGGTTTCACAAGAAATGATTTGAAGAACCACCTGCGGACAGTGAGGACGTCATCAATGGAGCATGGTGATGCAACTGCATTGCTAAAATACTTTAGACGGCAAGCTAAGCTGGATCCTGGTTTTTTTCATGAGGTAGAGGTTGATGTGGATGAGAATATTGCTAGTATTTTTTGGGCAGATGGGAAGATGCGGATGGATTATCATTTTTTCGGGGATTCAGTTAGTTTTGATACTACATACAGAACGAATAAAGAGTATCGACCACTAGGTATGTGTTGTTATTTTTGTGATTATTCTGTATTATAGTTATTTTGATTTGGTATTATGTTGTTATCTGTTAATACTAAGGTGGTATTTTGTGGTATTCATTATGTTGTTATCTGTTAATACTATGGTGGTATTTTGTGGTATTCATTATGTTGTTATCTGTTAATACTATGGTGGTATTTTGTGGTATTCATTATGTTGTTATCTGTTAATACTATGGTGGTATTTTGTGGTGTTCATTATGTTGTTATCTGTTAATACTATGGTGGTATTTTGTGGTATTCATTATGTTGTTATCTGTTAATACTATGGTGGTATTTTGTGGTATTCATTTTTTTAACACTGTGTACCACATGGTATGTGCAGCTGTGTTTGTTGGTTTCAACAACCATCATCAACTCACTGTGTTTGGAGCTGCCCTTCTATATGATGAAACAACGGCAACGTTTGAGTGGTTGTTTAATCAGTTTTTGGAATGCATGGGAGGTGTGAGCCCGTCGTCTATTTTTACTGATCAGGCTGCTGCGATTGCTGCTGGAATAAGGTCTGTTTTCCCAAGTTCTTTCCATGGATTGTGTTCATGGCATATCTCACAGAATGCAGTTGTTAATCTGGGATCTTTGTGTGATTCGGCTTTCCTTTGTGAGCTTAGCTATTTGATGTACAATGTTGATGATGAGGATGATTTTGAGTATAATTGGAAAAGAATGATAGATAAGTGTTTCCCTGGGAAAGGACCTCTTGGACACTGTTGGTTACAAGGTATTTACAAGGTGAGGGAGAAGTGGTCATCAGCTTGGGTGAATTCTCATTTTGGTGCTGGTATGAAGAGCACTCAGTTAAGCGAGTGTTGCAACAGTAATCTTCGTCATTACTTGCAGTCAAAATTTAGTATTCCTAGGTTCTTTGTACATTTTGATAGGATGCTTGATAATAAGAGAGATGCTGAAGAAGAAGAAGAGGAGTACAGAGCACTTTCTACGTTTGCTGATTGTCGCTTTTCATGCAGTGCTATTGTCAAGCAAGTTGCTGATCTATATACCCCAAAAATATTCCAGCTTTTTCTTGGGCAGTACAAAGAATCTCTTTCATACAATGTTTTCCCTTATACAGAGTTAGCTCAAGAAGGGAATGTAAAGATTTTTTATGTCTTTACATTGTTAGCAGACTTTTCAAGGTTTGACTGCAGACTGCTCATAGTTGATTTTGATGATGGTGAAATTAAGTGTACTTGTCGCAAGTGGGAGTCAAGTGGTTTGTTGTGTAAGCATCAACTGAGGGGATATGATTTGTTGTGGTCTACAACTTGCAATGTGAAGTTCCATCATATCCCTTCTAGTTTGATTTTGAAGCGATGGACAAGGACAGCAAAAACTTGTGGGAATTTTGGATTTGCAGTTTCGTCTATTGAGGCTCCGTCAAAGTATCGGTCTCGTCTGTTCAATATTTCAGCTGTTTCTGCTTCGCTTATCAGTAGGGTTTGTTCGAATGATGATTTGTATAAAACAACCATGGATTTCATGAGTGATTTGATCAAGAAGTGTGAAGCTTTACCAACTGTTGAAACAGCTGGTACGGGTGGATCGACCAACTGTGAGAGTAAGTTCCCTGTCCCCCTTTTGTTTGTGTATATGCTTTTGTTATTTTTTTTTTTTTTGTCTGCCAAGTGTTTTTACCATGGTGTACCATGTGGTATAGGGTGATTTTTTGATTGTTACTTGTGATGTTTTGTAATACTATATGGTATAATGTGGTATATGTTTCATTTGTGATAAGTTTATTGTTCCTTTATTGTTCCTTTTGTTTGCGAAGTTGTTTTATGATGTTGTACAATGTGGTATAGTGTTGGTTTCTTTATTGGTTCTGGTAATGTGTTGGAATACCATATGGTATTATGTGGTATTGATTGTAGTATGTATTTCTTATTTGTAGGTGATGTTCCAGTTCGAAATGTGAAGGGGTTTAAGCCTAAGAAGGATTCATTTAAGCCTTCGAAACGACCTATTTCAGAAGCTGAGATTGGAAGGGCGGCTAGTAGGAAGAAGAAAAAGACTAGCAGATTGGAAGAGGAGAATTTGAAGGCTGTGGAAGAAAGTTTGAAGTTGAAGTTGTGATTGTTGTTTGAAGGCTGTTGAGTTTTATAAGCTGTTTTGATGTTGAATTTTACGTGTTTCTTGCATTTTTGTTTGTTGCTTTTGTTTGAAATAGTATTGATCTGCACATGAGAAGGACTTAATGTTTCGTATATGAATTTAATCTTTAATATAATGTTTTAGTATGGTTTTGTCATGGTGGTGTTTTTTTTTTTTTTACTTTTACCATATTAGTGTAGTGGTGTTTTTAAAATTGTTTATACCATGTTATACCATATGGTATACTATGGTAAAAACATTCTTTATTGTGTTCAGTTATCATAAAATACCATTTGGTGTGTTCTGGTGTTTTTAAAAATCTTTATACCATGTTATACCATATGGTATACTATGGTAAAAATGTTTATACTATAGTATACCATATGGTATATTATGGTATAAACATTCTGATGACTAATGTTAGATCTGCGAAATTAATAAAGGGTAAAGTACTAGGCTGTTACATAACACACCCATAAGAAAAATGTTGTCTCAACCGCACACAGACATAAGAAAAATATTGTCTCAAAAGCACACACACACAAGAAAAATATTGTCTCAAAAGCATTGTTTCAGAAGCAGATGTCTGTAGTAGACATTAGATCCATACTGATGTTGTCTCCTTCCCTTACTTGCCTTGATTCTTCATAGCGCAGTACTTTGTGGCAGCTTTCATAATTCGATCACGCTCAAGGTTTTCTTTGTCGAGGATGATATCCAGCATTATACACTCCCTGTCTTCACTGATCAGATCCACTCTCTTCCAGTCTGATTGCATAAATGTCTTGTACTTTCCTTCCCAATGGCGCATCCATCTGATTATGTACAATCCACATGAGAGTTTATCTGGTTGTGTAATCTTCCCCAGATTGAACCAGTCAAACTTCTCCCAGGGGATTTGTCTGTTCCCACAGTAGACACTCATGTAGTTGATTGCATAGTTGACAACTCTTTCTGCCACTGGTTTGTAAGTCTTCTCAAAGTCTTTGTAGCGGAGACTGTCAAGCACATCAAATCTTGTGTTCTTGATGTTGACACAGATCATGATGTAGTGTTCACCATCACAGTAAGGGAAGAACCACTGCATATGAATGAAGTGAGAATGTTAATGGATAATTATAAATATGTTTTGAGGAATATTTTTTTGATGTCATACCATATGGTATTTTATGGTTTTTGATGTGTTACTTACAAGGTCACAGTTCTGGAAGCTGAGGTCTTTTGCCCATTCTTTGTCAGAAATATATTCGTCCACTTTGTCGAAGTATTGGTCTGCACTTAGTGGAGGTTTTTTGTTTTCTATGTCCAGCTTGCAGTCAGACTGTAAATTTGAAATTATGTTAAAGCAATCATATATTCTGGTATGGTAAGTATAATACATTAAAATATGGACAAACTTACTGCCAAATGACTAGAGAAGAACCACTTGGAGATTTTTCCTGATTTTGCTTGATCTCTGTTCATCCGATCTCCATACCAGTCCACGATATCATTTGTTATCAGTTGATCTATGTCAACAGATTGCAATGATGACCTTTTCAGTAAGCCTGTGCCATCCTTTCTGGTGAACATTACCTCGTCCCTGTTCAGAACAGTATACCATATTATACCATGTGGTATTATTCAACATTATACCATATTATACCATATGGTATTATTCAACATTATACCATATTATACCATGTGGTATTATTCAACATTATACCATACTATACCATATCATACCATACCATACCATACCATACTAGCATATCATCATATACCATACCATACCATACCATACCATATGTCATTAAGAAATTAATTGCTATTAAGAAGTTTACTTACTCGTCGACAATTTTGTTGTCTCTGCACCTTATGTACTCAAGGATGTCATTGAAAACTTCATCAGGAGTTGTTTGAGGTGGTGTAACCATCATTGCAATTGGGATTGCATCTAGGGCACCATGTTTTGCTTGAACTGGTTCATTTGCTGCTGATGAGCTCACTCCTGGCATTGGTTGTGAAACTGGAGTATTGATGTCATCAATGTAAGCAGCCAAGCATGCATTTATCTCCAGTAGTCTCTCCTGGCTGTTCGAGTACAAGTTTGACCATTCAATGAATGGTTTATTCAACAACTGTTGGCTTGTTTTTTCTTGTGGAGGGGTTGATGTTTTTGCTTTCTTCTCTGGTCCATGCAGATTCTTGATCACTATCCTTCTTTTGCGCGGTTGTTCTTGTTGTTGTGATGCTGTTGCTGTGGTGATGGTGATATTTGCTGTTGCGGATGGGGGATTGAATGGGCTGATGTCAAAAGATGGTATGTCACTGTCTTTTGCATCTTTGGGGTTTCCTGCAGTCTTTTGTGGTGGTGGTTGGATTGGTTCTTCATCATTGTTCTTTCCATTTCCTCCCTCCTTTGAAACAAGCACATCTGACTGTGTGTTCTCACTGTCATCTCCTTCCTGATCTCGATCCATTTCATTCTCCTTTCCTTCATCCCTTTTTGTGTTGGCCTCCTGGTTTACATTCTCTGGAACTGAACTTCCTTGGTTCTTCTCAGCAGTTTCAGCAGGATTCTCTGTTGTTGGTATTTCTGTTTGATGTTGAGCTTCTGGTTTTGTTGGAGAACCATCTTGAGTCTTCTTTTTCTTCCATTGTGTTGGTCCAGCTAGATCCACTGTTGTCGGTTGAGAATCATCATTTTCTTCAGACTCATTGACTGTGGTTGCTTTCATTTTCTCTGATTGTACCTTGTCAAAAAAATTCTTCAGAGTTTGTTCCAGGTTTGCATCTTCTTCTTCATCTTTATCATCAGACTCACTTCCTTCCTTTTCTTCGACAATCATGTCATCAGATCTTTCTCCTTCGACAGCATGAAAGTTGTCATCAGATTTCAGCTCCAACATTTCCTTGTGTTTGACAAGCTCATCAATTTGAGCTTTGTATTGCATCTTGATTGATTGCAACATAGCTTTCATTGATGTTTTCACCAGCTTCAGTGCTCTCTCAGCCTGCATTAGTGATTTTTTGGTCTGTAAGTTAATATTTACAGTAGAATACCACATATTACCATGGTGGTAATGGATGGTATGTGCATTATACAGTACAATACCATATATTACCACCATGGTTCATGTGTGGTATTAGTTATATGAAGTGCACAATTAGTAACAAATGGTAATTTATACTTACTTGGGGGATAGTCTTGATCATCTTCAAGTCAAATATGAGTGTTGTTGATGGTTGTTGGTCTGTGTTGTTGTCATCATCATCACTGTTGTTGTCATCGATCTTCTCTTCTTTATCATGTATCTTCATGAGCTGATGAAGTTCTTCTCCACCGTAGTAGCTTTGGATGTTTTCATAGTTTCTTTGCACAGCAATGTCATCATAGTAGTTTGTTGTTGGGATTTAAAACTGTGTGGAGAAGGCCATTTCATCCAACTTGTACATGAAGCATACCTTTTATTTGTTTGTGGGAAGGAGAAACAGTTGTATTAGTATTGATGTACTAGGATTTGTAATGCTTTAGGGTATAGTAATTGAAATGAAATTATTGGGGGTATAGATACTTACTGTTAAGAAATGAAGATCTGCATTGACGTACAGGTTTTTTACTTTCAACCCCTCATTCATATAGTCGAAGAAGAACTTGCACCAATTGTATTCTTTGAAATGCTTGATTTTGTCTGGCTGTAAGTACTCCATCACATTCAACTCAGCAGTTGGGTTTTAAAATGGGCACAGTAGAGCTCCCGTAACCAGAATCCAGAACAGTTTGATCCATATTTCAATGGTATGAGCATTAGAAACGTCATGCTCTACGTTAGCTAATTTCACCCTTCCATTGGTAGCTAGAGCTTCTAGTTCTAGTAGGACCTGACATGCATAGTCTGTTGCTTCTTCCAGTGATAATTTCTTGAGCGTCACTTCCTTTTTACCCATTGGTAGACCATAAACTCTATGGAAGTCAATTGGCGATATCTTCATGTAGTTTCCATCAGGCAGCTTGAATGATTGCTTTGTTGGATTGTACTTGTTCATTGTGAATAGAGCAAAGTTCTTGTTTATCTTTGTTTGCTGGATGCATGTTAAGCCATCAAGGCCTAATTCCTGCAATTTTTCTCTCTGTTCAGGTGTTAATGTTCTTGAAAGTGTGTTGATTCTTGTTGGGCTGCACCTTGTGCAAAAATTGTCCCTATGTCTCGACATGATGTACCTGCATCCAGGATAGAAGAATTGCTATAACATACCATACCATACTATACCATACCATACCATACCATACCAGTAAGCAAAAACACCAAATACCATACAATACCATACCAGTAAGCAAAAACACCAACTACCATACCATACCATACCATTGCATACCATACCATACTATACCAGTAAGCAAAAACACCAACTACCATACCATATTATACCAGTAAGCAAAAACACCAACTACCATACCATACCATACCATACCATCTTCTACCATACAATACCACTGTAAGTACTTTGACCAGTATGTAGGTGGTTTCTCCTTAGAATACCATATGGTATCAGTGTGGTATTGTAAGAAAATCATAGCATAGAATAGGTTTTTATACTTTTCCTATAAAATATTTTTCATTCTTACTTTGACTACTACTGGAACGGTTTCTCCTTAGAATACCATATGGTACCAGTGTGGTATTGCGTAAATGCAGAGCGAAAAGCAGGGATAGAACTCGAACCGCCTGTGATTTTTCTGTTTTGTACAGAGTTGGTGATAATGATGGCGGGGAAGGTCAGTTACCTTTTTCAAATTGTCAGAAGGTCAGTTACTATTATACCCCTACGTGTATTTGCTATTCTACATCCGACGGTTAATAATGGAGTGCAATGGACGGCCGATCCGGTGGTTACTGATAGTTACTCACCGGTAGGTTACTTACAGGAACTGCTCCCGGGCGTAGGGGAACGACGCTCTTTTTGTTTTATTTTAATTGTTAAATAAATAAGTTAGGTAATTACCACCTTATCCTTCATTAAATTAGATAAATTTAAATCATTAAATTTTAATGAGCTTTTATGGCTGAGATTGACTTAGTCTCACCTGATCTTAGCCCAAGTTTGGGACAAATACGAGCGAGTCTCGGATCCCAGGTGAGAAGAACGCGTGCCCTCTTGTCTCCGTCTTTTCCTCATCAACAGCTCGCTTCTCTTTCCCAAACAGAACCCTTTTCGTCCAGCGTCTTCTGATGCTTCTTCGTGCTCAACAATGGCGGGACACAACGACGACCCGGTTGACGTCTTCTTAAAAGGGGACGCTCCCTCTATCCCTCACTCCTCTTCCTTGATAAGTCTCAAGACCCACAAATTTTGTTCCGAGCCGTTGTCGATGGTTGTAATCCGTGATTCTTCTCCAACCAGCAGCGCTGATCTCTCAATTTTCCCACCTAGCAGCCATGAAAATCTGGCCCCTTCATCATCTCTTTCTGATCACCAGTCGCTGCGGCAGTTCTGCTCCTCCGCATCTAGCTGCGACTCGCCTGGTCTTCTCATCAATCTGGAACCGCAAAAGGCGCCGCTATTAGCTTCACCGGTGTCTCCCTTCTTGTATCCTCGATCCAATTCAGGCCCATCCTCGTCCGAGCAATTCGATTCCGACCCAGACGGATCATTACCACAGTCTCCGCTATCGTATCCCTCGTCGGAAGTTGATCTCCCGTCGTCACCGCTGCTTCCCGTGTCAGCGCCGCCCAGATGGTGGGGAGTAGCTCTTCGGATCATCCGCAGCAAGGTTGGGAATTTTGGGTCCCTTCTTGGAGGGGAGGGCAACCCCAGAAGCAGGGGTGTTTGGTCGATGGGGAATTTTGGGCTGCCGGTAGCCGCAGTGTCAGTTATGTGGTGGTTGTGGTTGAGAGAGAGGAGGAGGAGGAGAAGGCTACAGCAACGAAACAGCGTGGGGCAGTTGGTGCAGGTTATGAGAGAGAAGGACGAGGTTTGGTTTCTGTAAACACATAATTCTCGCCCATTGTGATTTCACTATACTTTGATTCTTAGGTGTTTGTGAAAATGCCTCCGAGAGAATGGATTGTCTCAATCATTTGTGCAGGTTCTTTGACCTCTGAGCTGCGTGGATGAGGCCTGTAATTTGATTTTGTTTCTGTGTTGTGTTTTGTATGGCAGAAAATTGTTCAGCTCCTAAATCAAATAGCTCAGTTGAACGAGTTAATAATAGGACGCCATAAATTGTAGCAGCCAGGCAAAGGGATATGATATGAGTGAGAAAGAAAGGGAGGATGGATGGGCAAATTGGATGGGACCTCCCTGAGTCTTGACTAACGAGCAATGCTAAGCAATGAAGGCTTGTTTTTCTATGGCATGGCAGGCAGGCATCAATCAGTCTTTCATCACATTGGCTTGTTAGTACTCTGAATTAGTGTGCAAACGGGAGCCCAGGAGAAGAAGCAGAAAGGGAAATAATGAGGATGAGAGAGCATGTATTGTTGGGCTGCAAGAGCTGCTGTACGTAGCTGTATTAATCATTCAGCTCCACTTGTGATATTCGCATAGCAGCAGCTACTGGTTGCGGCACAGGCCACTGAGTCGCTACATAGACAGACATCTCCTCTATGTCTATCTATATGTGGAAGCCAGGAGTCCAGATTATTTTTTAGGATTCAAATGCACATTTTATACCCGTTTAGTTTTTTCGTTTTAGGTTTTGGTTGAATTGATGCAGAAAGATGGAGCATGTTCTATTTGATCTTGGGTTGTAGGCTGATGATGATAAATGTTTATTGTTATGTATTTTGTATTCTCGATGGATCCCATGCTTTGCAGTTACATGTAGCATTGTTTGGTTTTCACATCACATATTCCCTTGATGCCAAATATTATCTATTTTTTATGAATAATCGATTACTGCATCTACTTAAGACCGAGGAATCGGCTTACGCAAACAAGTGTAATAAGAGCCTACTTCCAACGGAGGCAAAGAATAGCAACAAGTTTTTGGCTATACAGCCTCGTCTTCTACTTCCCACTTGATATTCTCAAGTTCATCATCCGATATGCATTGAGTGGAAAGGCATGGGACAACCTCGTCCAGAACAAGGTACGCTAACAGAAACTCCGACAATCCTCATTATGAAACTAAACGTGTTTGGACAGAAAAAATTGGTTGCTAATTATACATCTAATTATTTATATTTATATTTTATACCTGTAGACTGCTTTCACCAACAAGAACGACTTTGGAAAAGGCGAGAGGGAAGCACAATGGGCAGCGGCTCAGCGCACCTTGCACGGGCAAGCAACAAGTTAACTGTTCAGAACAGTTCACAACAAAAACAGGAGAAGAAACTTAACCTCTGCCCTTGTGGAAGAATCAAATCCTTAAGCTTGTTAGTTGTTATCCAAGAATTTGTTTAGAAATACTGTAATGAAATGAACATATTTTTGGCTCTCTTTAGCCCTGTCTCTTGTCCAGTTGTCCCTATGAGGTCTTCCTCCACTAGCAGGCGGACGCCGGACTAATCCTGCTACGACTTTGAAACCATCACAGACGAAACTAAACAGTAAAATTCGTGCCTAGCATATTTTTTCAGCGAATCGAGTCTTCCTTTTTTATGGGATCTCCTCCTGTCTGTATTATATAAGTGAAGGGGCGGCCGGACCCTCCTGTTTTAAACAAAGGCAAAGTCCGAGTCTTGGTATCTCCTTGCTTGTTTTAGGGGAAGCAATAGCCATGTCTGCCGCATACCCTTTCTTGACCCTTGCGTTGGACCCAAGAAACGTTTCTTCCACTATCTGTGCAGACTTTTCAATGGCAGTACCCAAGACAAACATTACTCTTCAACTGTCAAACCTTTATAACTAGTGTGTTCTTTCATTTAGCACTTGAGAAACAGACAACTCATGAAACCAGAAGAACAATGGGTTCCCGCTACATATATATAGAAACAAAAGCAATAACAGATATGAGAAGTCGTCCTAATTCTATTGGATCAGCAGCAGCAGCAACTATCATGCATATCGGGTTCTTAATTCTTATCATTAATGTCCACTGCATATGCACACATGCAATGACAGAAAAGAAAGATCAAGGTAGCAGCAGAGTTACAATAACGCAGTCAACCAGCTAGTACACAGCCACATGCATGTACAGTTACTTCTGTTATCATGGGACCTGTAACTAAAGTACATTGCTGGCAGGACGCTACTTCCTTTCACATGACCAACAATGCGACAGAAAAAATAAATATGAAGTGCCAACACCAGCTATCAGCATGACATATGTTGCAAACGCCACAAACACAAGATCTGGTAATCTGGTTGCATCTGCATGCCACACCAGCAAGAACTAGTGAAAACAAGAAACAATAAGAAAGCATCCAATGACATTGAGCTGAATCAAGGAATATATAAAGCAGTAGAGTACCATTTCAATTTTCAGAATCAGAAACCTAAGTCGCAACATATAACTGATTTATCATCCATTTCCTCCATCCACAACTAAAACACAGAGCAGGGAAGACCAAACTGAATTGTCCATCTATAAATTAACTCTACCCCTGGTGTTCTGAGAAAACACAAACAAAAGACGACAATAATGGAAGCAAAAACTTGCGTGAGAAAAGCTGTAAAACTCTGTTGAAGTGGGTTGTAGGCCTGCCTTTTTGACTGGATGAATTGCACGTTTCGCCACAAAAAAAAAAACGGAGATTACATTTACCTACATAAGTATGACAAACATTGTAACAAATGGCTTTGCTTTCACCTCCCCGGCTAACTCTTTGTTTCACTGGATCTGCTACTCTCCTTCTCATGGACCGGACGACGAATATCAACTTGGTCCACGTACTCCAATGGCTTTGCAGTTTCGTTTGTGATCCTCTTGATCTTGGGGCTCAGCAGCCCTCTATGCCCAAAACCATAAAACTTAAGCACCTGATTGTCAGCAAAATTGAAAGCCCTCTCCATGCTCTTCAAGCACTTCTCGACCGGGTAATCCCCGTAGCTCCCACAAGGCTTGCAACCAACGAAATGAGTGACAAAAGGCCACCTCTCGTCTCCCAAACCGGGATGATACTTCTCAATCATCTCTTCATACCTCTCGACCAACCCTAACCAGTACCCATGCAAGTAATACTGATTCTCCACATACACCTTGTCCATCCACTTCTCCTTCTGTGAGAGCAATAAGTAGATCAATGCAGACTGATCATCAGCCTCGAATGCCGGCCTCCCTTTGAGGTTGGCAGTCAACACTTTCCCCGCTTCCTCACGAATGGGGCCCTTTGGACCCATTGGAGCCCAAGTATCAAGCAGATCAAGACTCCATTGGCAGTTCCTGAACAAGAAACTACCAGTGTTCAATGCAATCCAGGACTTCTGCTCGAAGAGCAAATCTGGGTAGCCATGGATCACCAGGTTATGGTTGGTGTACTTGGAGAGAGGGACCTCAAACACCATATCAGTAAACATAGCATCACTATCCATCCACCAGATCCACTCTACTTCAGGATGAGATAGCATGAGGCGCCTAATCATGGGCAGTTTGGCCCAGTACCCGGCGAGCTCCTTATCCAAATGCGCCATGTTGTAAACAATCTCAATCCCGTGAATCCTACAGTAGTCGATCTTGTTCTTAACAGCTTTCAACAAGTAATGATCCCCAATGGGGTTGTCGCAAGGGTTGGGAGGGGAGCCGGTGAGGAGAAGAATTCGAGGTTTGCCGTTTACGGAGCTGGGGAATTCGGGGTTTTGGGAGAGCCATACCTTACGCTGTTGATCCCAGCCGAGAATTTTGGGGCCGAGGGCGTAGGTGTCGTTGAGGGAGAGGAATTGGGGCTCGTCGGTGGAGCCGGCAGGGTCGTCGGGGTCCTTGTCGGAGCGGATCTCGGCGAGGACGCGGTTGGTCTCTTCGATTAGGTTTTGGTTGACGGCGTCGGCTTCGGAGCTGGATAGGTTGCCGATCCCGATTGTGCCGCGGAGGACGAGTATGGTGACGAAGCCGCAGAGGATGGTGATCTTGATGTTGTTGAAGGTCTTGTGGATCTGCCTGCCCCGTGGGATCATTGTACGGGCGGCGGCCCTGCCGTTGGCGGTGGTGGGTAAGGCTGAGGCCCCGACGCCGCTGGATCGCTTCTGGGTTGTGAAGGTGGAGCCGTTGTCTTGCCCCATTCAAATTCAACACCCCCAAAGAAAATGCGCTCCCACTTCACTCAGCTCCAATTATAGAGCTTTCGTGAAGTTGAAGGCTGGAAACCAGACGATCTATTTCTCTCTCTTGTTTTTTTTTTGGGTGTTATATCAAAAAAAATAATGGGGATGGCAGAGGAGAGAAAGAGAGAAATGGGATCTGAAATCTTGATTTGTCTTGCATTGATTTTGGGTGTGAAATGAAAATCTAATATTTTAATTTGGGAAGATGAATCTGGTCGAATTCTCACTCTTGCTTCCACATTTGTTGTTATTCTGATGAGAGGAGAGGAACGGGAAATTTCGACCAAAAAAAAGAGGAACGGGAAAATGATGCACCACCGGGAAGGGGTGTCGGTGGTCAGTTGAGAGGCGACGGTGAACGGCGGCGGGGGAGACCGAAAAGGAAAGTGGAAGATTAGAGAAGAATTGGGAGGAGAGTGGGGTTGGTTTTGTATTGTTTGGGTTTGCGTATTCTAACAAAACAGGGAGCTGTATGCCATCGCCATCGCCATCGCCAACCTGTCCGCTTTCGCCTTACTCGTCTCTTTAATTTTAGGGGGTTAATAATTGACGCCCTAGATATTTAAAATTATCTCTCTAAATTTGAAAAATGGACACACTTGCCCCAGATCCAATTTCTAATCTAAACTCCGAATACACAACCGAAAATGAATTAGGAAAAAAACAAGTAATTAAATAAAACTTATACAATATATTAGATGAAAACTTGAAAATAAGATTTTTTTTTTCAATCTATGTTAATTACTAAGAGACTAATTCAATTCACACAATTACAACAGTTAATTAATTCCATACTATTGAGATATATTTTTGTTAGGTGAATAATTCTATTGACTGTAAGATAATTGTATTAGTTGCATGTATTTTCCTAAGGGTTAACTATAACTATGTGTTCTTTTTTTTTACAATAATAATAACTATGTGTTCATTGTAATGTTTTATTCATCATATAAATTATGAATTGATGCATTAACCAAAATTTGCTCACTTAATGATAATGTTATGTTATAAATTTTTTTTTATAATGGCGATAGATTAAAGCTGAAAAAACAATCCAACAAGGTTGTACATGCCTCTGTTATCGCAAGGAGCGATCCCAAGAGGTCCAGAAACATAATGTTATGTTATATTGGTTAATCTGATTAACCAATTGACCAACTCGATTAAACTTTAGTTTGGTTAATTGGATTGTTGTATTAATTTGAATGGTTTGATTATAATATTGTATTCTATAATTAATAAAATTTTAATTTTTTTGGTTTGATAATTACCATGGCCCACTAGATTTAGTGTAGTCAGATCGTTCTCCCACTTTCTCCGGTGAGCAGAATAACCGAACGGGAATCGGGTCCTGTTGGAGCAAGCACTAGGTATTTTATTTACGAAAGGAAAACTTAACCGTGTGATTTTATTAGTTAAGCTGTACCTAGATCACCCATGAGGGCCAGGGTTGGTGCGAGAATTTTCCTCATAGCGCGTCGCTGTGGGGTTTGTTATCATATAAGGCTGACTCCAATGCAGCCTGTATTTATGGAGTTCTCATCATTAATTGCGATTTTGGAGCTCCAACGCAGAGACGAAAAATGGCGAAAATCGGCATTTATGGAGGGCATTGGCATCTGGGTCTCTAAATATGAGGGAGGGAATGCCGAGGTCGGCATTTATGGGGAATGGAAGAATTGTTGGCACTCGCGCAATTAATGTGATTAATGGTAGGAAAGGTGTAATTAATTGCTTGCTAATTAATGTGATTAATTAAGGGAAGAAAGGAAATTGTTTATTGGATTAATTAATGTAATTAATGCAATTTTTGGAGCTCTAACGCAAGAGCTTTTTTTTGTTAATTATTTATTAGTTATTTAAGGAATTGATTAAGGGAATGGAATGTAATTAATTAGGGAAAGGGAATTAATGTTTGTATTTAGGCTTTTTAGATTGTATTTAATTTGTGTTTAATATTTTTGTATTTAGGCTTTTTTTCTAAGATGACTTAAATTGAATTCATTTTATTTAAAATTTATGTTTATCATCTTTAAGTTATGTGTAAACAAAAATTCGGTCTCGAAATTTAACAAAATTCTATCGAAAAATTTGTATTTAAAAATGATGACGAACTATACAAAAATTAACATGAATAAATTATAGGGCTAATACCACTGAAAATACCAACCTTTAGTAAAAGTGTCATTTATATTACGTAAATTCAATAAATACAAAAATATTCCAACCTATTAGATGTTTGCGTCATTTGTGTTACGTGAATTTCTGTTGACCGTTAGAACTAACGGTTGACCTAACGGCGGTCAACCTTTGACTGACCACTGATGAAGTGGCGCCTATGTGTGGTCCACATATGCAACACGTAGATGCCACGTGGGAAATTAGATTTAACATTTAAAATAAAAAATATAATTAATTAATTTTTTTAATAAATTTATTTTTATTATATTTTCTCACCTGTTCCCCTCTCTAATCTCCATCACTCGTTCGTTGATTAGAATGCCCAACGCAATTTGGGGATTAGGGTTTGGGGGTGGAGATTGTGAGATCCAGTTCGCCCTCCAATCTTCCCACCCCCGCCACCACCACTACTTCTTCCTTCCACCCCTTCTCGGCGATGCTCCGGCTCCTTCGCCGGTCCAGGTGGCTGCTCCAGCTCCGTCGCCAGCTGCTCCCCTCATTCCGCCTCCAGATCGACCACTTGTTCCGCCGGATCGACCGCTACTTCCGCCACGAGCGCCTTTTTTCCACCACCGACGCCCTTCACCGCCGGCTCCTCCTCCGAATTCACCGCCATCGTATCCTCCGCCGCCTCAGCCGCTCGGTCCGCGATCTCCGGACTCTCCTCCGCCTCACCCGCATCCGTCCCCACCGTCGCCTCCCGCCGCCGCTCCTCCAGTCCCGCAGCCTTCCCCTCCACCTCTGTTCCCTAAACACCCTCATCATTTTCCTGCGCTACCACCCCATGTGATCCCATCTCCTCCTCCGCCTCCATCCTCCGCCGCTCTACCTCCAATTCCCATCTACGATGTTCCTCCGCCGAGCTATCCACCGCCGATCATTACCCCGGCGACGCCAGCAGAGCCTTACAATCCTCCCCCTTTTCACCACCACCATCACCATCTTTTCCCGATCTTCACGCAGTCGCCTCCTGAAAGAAGTAGCAGAATCCCCCCTCATGCTTGACCTCGGAATCAGCTCGATCGCCTCCAACTCCCCCTCCACTCCACTTGATTGATTCCACCCACCTCGTCGATTTTGAGAAATTCTTTTTCTAGGGTTCTTCCTCTATTCGTAATCGAGAGTGACGAAGAGGAAAAGATGAGAACAAAATGAATGTGTTACTGCCTACTGGGGCCTCCTCGTTTTTGCATATATATATTTTTGTTTTTTATATTTTAATTGGGTAAATATTAAATAAACAAATACTTAAATGTCCACGTCAGCGAACCATGTAGGATCCTATTTGGTGATGACTGGACGTTGAAAAGTCTCACAGTTAAATTTAACGGCCCAACTAACGGAATAGACATTTTGGTATACAAATGTCATATCGATAATTACGTAATATAAATGGCACTTTCGCTAAAGGTTGGTATTTCCGGTGGTATTAGCCCTAAATTATATTAAAGTTTCGATAAATACATTATTAAATAAATGGAAAAACTGGAAATATTAAGAACCCCAAATATGGAGTTTGTTGCATTGGAGCAAAAGAAGGGAAAATGGGGTTCAATCCCCAAATTTGAAGTTCAAGGCCTGGGGTTTTACATTGGACTTGGCCTAACGCGCGCACACGAAGAAAAAGAAAACACGAGTCACAAGTGGGATGTTTCAAGTTTGGTTACTACTGCATCGTGATCTCTTGACATCTGTCCTTCTGTCGCTGTCGTCTTCTTCAACTCGTTGGCAGGCTGGCAGGCACCGCGATGAAACATGAAGGCGACTTCCAACTTCAAGCGCCCCCATTTCCCATTGCTTTGTTCAAAGCATTGGATTGGAGTCATTCAAGATTTACACTGCCAGCTACCTCTCTTCACATTGTAGCGCTGAAGGCTTCATTCCTCAGGCATCGTGGACGCAACCAATTTGCACGTCTTGAGATCGACATCCTTTCCTCACTCGCGCAGTTATTCTTTGCATCGATCCATTGAACATTGAATCTGGCACCAACAACTTCATCGCATGACCATGACCGAAATTATGATTCTTTTATTAAGAAAGATCCCCTGAATCCAACCCTATCCTCTCCACTAGCCAAATCTCAAATTAGGAATAAAAAAGATCACATCATTCACAAGGCGGGGTATTTTGAGAAATGAGAAGTACCATTTTCAGTACCAGGTTTCTGGGTAATGAATGAATGCAAAGCCCTCACCTCAGAGTTGTTGACATCATCATCATCGTTGCCATGGGTCTCATTTGCATCCACTAACGTTCACCACATTCAAAATATTGCTAAAACTGGCTCTCACGTTTTGTCACCACCAGCTTCCTTGCAGTAGCTACACTTGTTTCCTATCTTGATGCTTCTTGTTGTCTTTTCTGACTCCATTTTTGGACTTCCCAAACTGGAACCCAACCCTCCTTCTGGCAGCTGCCTGCAATTGACCTCTTCTGAACTTGATAGGCCTCCTGGTCCTAGCTAGTAATGGCGGTGGTGTGGACTCCTGGAGCCTCACCACCTCCTCCACCTTCCTCCTTGGGGTGAAAACTTCAGTAACCGAGGGATCCAACACAGCTTCTGAGCAAGAAATGTTCACCCCCATAGCCACGGCCTCATCCCATAGTTCTCTACCCTTGTTGAACTCCCCACCCCTGCAAAGCTTTGGGATCAGCACATCATATACCGGGCCATACCCACCCAACGAACTTCTCTTCATTCGATCAAATAGCTCCACAGCCAGATTTGGTCTCTCGACTCCACAAAGAACACCAATCAAATCATAGAAAAACTTGCGATCCGGTACCAATCCCTCCTCCATCATTTCATCCACGAGTTGACTGCCTTTACCAAATCTCCCACTCAGATACATTACTTTCACAACCAGATAATAGCTGTGCCAATCGGGAGCACACCCGGATCTCTTCATCAACTCAAATACCTTAACACATTCCTTCACTCTCCTCGTCCTTCCAAGGCAGGAAAGCAAAATATTGTAGCTAATCGAGTTGGGCTGGATGGAATAAGTCCTCATTTCCATCAGCACATTCAGAGTTTCGGGAACAATCCCCGAAGGGTTGTGTTTGGCATTCTTTTCACAGAGACACCTGATAAATGTATTGAAACAAAACAAATCAGGCAATACCCCTTCTCCTTTCATCTCTTTGATAACCTTTCGCGCCTCCTTCACGTTCAACTGCACTGACCATCCGTACAAAAGGCTCCTGTAAATGCATTGCTTCGTACCTGAAATCTTATCCTTGTGATGCCAAACCACCCCTTGTGCTTTCTTAGCATGCCCTTTGGCACAAAGAGCGGTCACAATGGCACTCACAGTAACACTATCTTGTGGGCATTTGAATTTTTTGTCTAAATTCTTGAACAAGCCTAACGCTTCGTCTTCTCTCCCAAGTTTAACCAATGTCTCGGCCACGACGCCGAAAGTTTGTGGTTCCATAACACGGCCCTGTTTCCCCATGTCAGAAATCAGAATCTCGATTGCTTTATGGTCCTTCTTCTCTGCCAAAACTCGAAGCACGTGGTTGAAGTCTTCATCTTGGGTCTCGAAATCTAATTTTCTACTTGACCAGAGGTAGAATCTTAACAGTCGTCTCGTGGGTGCATCCTCTTTGCAGTGATCTATGATTTTTCTGACTAGAGAGGATGTCAAAGTACATGTAAAACCATTCAGACTAGCTTCTAAGTCGTCCAAACCGCCAACGGAGCTAGAAACAACTCCACACAGCTCTTGCAGTTCCACAGGCAACTGATCCCCAGACACAGAAGAGGATAAGGCGCGGATCAGATGCAGGTTATTTGTCCTATTTTGGGGCACAAAGCCAAGCCATCTGGACCTCAGTAAGCAATGCATCTCTTCTTCTCTGTGGGGAAATTCATCGAACAGGTTATCTGCGTTCATGGAAAGCTCTACATTTTCCGTTGATACAGTTCCTCCATACGAAGCAGAGCAATGAATTCCCTTCTCCGAGTTGAGAAGCTGAAACCAATTAAGAATACGATCGGTGAAGCGCCGGAGAATCCGGCAGAGTCAGCCTGCTTTGGCACGCGGCTTGAAAGATTAATCGGAAGGAAGAGGGCCGAGGAGGGACATCACATTTAGAATATGTGAACTTCTATTTAACACCCTAACTTTTAAATTTTTTGAAAATAAACTTACCCAAAGTCTAAACAGACCATTTTACCCCAAACAGATTCTTAAATCTTAGGGGTCGTTTGCTTCATGGATTTATAAACAAGGGTTTTGTAATTTAAAAACCCAAGGATTTATCAAGGATTTGAGTCATCATGGATTTGTAACAATCCTTTGTTTGTTGGGATGTTTTTATCATGGATTTAAAGGTGTGGGATTTACTACTTGAAGTCAAAAATTACATTACTGCAATTTTCTATATGTTTGACATGTTTATGATATTGGTATATAAAAGCCACAGTTTGAGTACTGTTCATTAGTGGTGCCCAAATGCTATCCTGCGACTGGGCTTCTGCCAATCGTTTCCTCTTCACTGAGCCACGTACTCCCTTCCCCTTCTCACACTGAAGCACAATCCACCTAATTACCCCACTCGCCGATGAAGAACCACTGAACTATGTGTTTGCCCGGCGGACAATCGGCCGCTCCTTCTCTTCCCTCTCCCTCTCAGCCCTATTTCTTTCCTTGATTCCTTCTCCACACGCAAACCTCTGCTGCGTCTACTTCGTCCCATCTTATCACCCTCGAGACGCTCCGCTTGCCCCTTTCCTGCTCCTCTTTTTTGCACGCCATCCACATCACTGAATCGCGTCCTTGCCTCTCAGAGCTCGGAATGGCCCCATAAACTCCTTTCCTTTGCCTGCTACCGTCAGAAGCAACCATTTTGCCCTTCTTCACAACCCTTCTTGCCGGAATTCATAGTTCACTGGCTTTCGTTCTCACAGATGTCGGATCTCAAACTTAGGGGAAGGGACTGCAAGTCTGCAACCGCGCCCGTCGGCTTCCACCGCTGCGCTTTACACCTTCAATCGGTGGCCTCTTCCCTTTCCCCGTTAAATCCCATTCCTTCTTTTCTTTCCCGCTGGTATTTGCCCTCACAAACCATCCACCGTCCATGCCCGCAACCCACCCAAAAAATTGCCTTCCTTTGTGGACGCACTTGGTGGAATTCCAAGTCTGTTCGCCGGCGAGTGCTAACAGACGCCCACGCTCACTCGAAATTGACGCGCCTACAACTCAGATTCCAACCGCGGTAGTCGGGAACCAAGCCTATGGTTTGCTCTTCCTGCAATCGGTAAGCTTCTCCCTCTAATCTCGCCGTTACCTTCCTCATTACCAACCGCCTCTTCCTTTCACCAACGCTCTCGCTCTTCTCCCAGTGCAACCCACGATGTCGCGGACCCCAGCTCGGCTGCTCCCCGTCACTCTCCGACAGTCGAAACCAAGCCAACTCGCCGTAGTGGATTCACTTAAGCTGCTGCACGACGGGTTCTAGGAGCATCAGCCGACAGAACGACGGGTTCTAGAATCGAGTTTTTGGGGAAGTTGCTACTTTCTTCTATGGAAAGGATTGATCTCCTAGCATTCAGAGTAAGCTACTGATTTCCTATACTAGATTATGCTCATAAATTTCGATTTCATATCTTTAGTTTGCCTCTGTTGGTTGTGAAACATATTGTGTATCCTTAAATTCAAGGATTTTATGAAATGGGAGTTGGTCTATCTTGGTCCTTGCATTGAGGAACTATGCTTGCAACCACTAAGAATAGAGCCATGTTTACCTGATGTTAATATCTCTTACGCTTTTGCCCACTTTGCTTTTAGAGATAGGAGCTATGGTTATTGTTTGTTGCTTTACACCCACATGAGTTTTGTTCTCTTGCATTGGGAAGGTTATCCACCCACATGTATATTTTCCTACCTTGCTGCTTATGGTATGCTTTGATATAGATGAGTTGTTGCTTAGCTAAGCGTATGAACTACGATAGCTGCCACTCTTTTGGTGTAGTCCATATGAGTTAGGGAGTTCCAAAGCAGCATAACATGCCAGCGACCACCATACAGGATCATTACTTTCCATGTCTCTATATGTTTAGTTTTGTTTCAGTTAGTTCTGGCCATGTTTTCCCTTTTGAAGATGTTTATGTTTTAGAACCATGGATGGCGTGCACTTGCTGTTGTTGTCAACTTCCATATCTTCTTTGTTTTGTCAGTGGAATTAGAGTTGTCATTTTTTCCCAGGTTTCCCTTCCTTCCTATAGCACGCAACTTAGAAAATACTTATGCTACTTTGATATACCACTATGAGCCTTGAGCTTGCATCTTCAACAGTAGGAATACTTTTGTTAAAACTTCTTGACTTGACATACTCTCAGGAATAACTTAAGGCTGCAGTGCTGTTATATTTCATGCAAATTGTTCTGTTTTATTT